TGCCCTCTTCCTCTCGGCAGACTGTTGAGCTGCCGGCTCCCTTGCTTTCGGTTTCTTCGGCACCGGCTCCGCTCTTGGGGCCTGATCCAGGTCCATCCGGTCATACCGCTCCCCAAAACAAACCCGTTCCTCCGCTGCTACCGCTCGCACTTCGGCAGCAACCGCCGGAGGGGTCCATGCTTTTCCCCGCTCCACTATCCCAATGTGGGACTTCACTTCGGCCTCCTTGCCCTTACCACCCGCAGCGGTCTCCGCGCTTCTCCGCCTACGAACTTCATCGCGCGGAATGGCCGCTTCTATCTTCTCGCCATCCAGGTAGAAGTCCCTCATCACCGGCCGGACCCCTAGGGTCTTCATGTCCGTGGTGAGGTCCGCGCACTGAGCCTTGAAATGGCCCACCTCTCCGCAATAGCTGCAAGCAGGCGGTCCCCGCGGCGCAAATCCCTGCCCCTTAGTTGCCGCCTCTGGCGCTGCAGGGGTGGCATCAGCTCCCGCACGACCCGCCGACGGCTTCCAGGACTGGGTCACTGTCTTCTGCATGAACAGGCGTAGCTCCTTGAGCGTATCCGCCAGTTCACCGACCTCCTTCGCAGTCACCGGCTCCTTGCTCTTAGCCGATCCCGAGCCCCTTGCTTCTATCCCATCCTCCACCAACTCCTGCATGTCCATCTCGCCCTGAAGTGCCTTACGGATCTCCTTCATGTCGGGCAAAACGATCACACCCCCATCCTTAGACCTATTCACCAAGTTCCGATCGTAAAGCTGTCGGAGCGCCCGCTCCCGCATCTCCTTCGGAAAAGCCTTGATGAAGGTCCGCTTCACCGCTCCCGGAGTACCGGTGACGATCCCGTTCCGATTCAGATACTTCAGAATCCGATCGAACGAAGAGACGTACTTCCCGTACTGCTCCCTCGTCTGAACGCCACCTTCCTCCGCCACCTCCGCCGCGAGCCTATCCAGATCCGCCTCCCGATACCTTTGCTCGCTTTGGCCCCACTTCTCCAGCATCTCCTTCTTCAACTCCGCCCAATCCTTCCTCTCGTACCCATCCATATCCTCCACATCCCGCAACGCCTCTTCATCCTGGATAAAGTTGACCACCTGTCGAACCTTATCCGAGTCCTCCGCTCCCTCCCCATCCGCCGCAGCCTCGAAACGCTCCAGAAACCTCGACACTTCGGTAGTACTGAACCGAATGTTTGGATAGTCCTTCGGACGTACCTTCGCCTTCAGCGGACCCAAGGACCGCGGCGGCGCTGGGTCATCCACGTTCATCCTTTCCTCGGAACCTTCGCTCGGTACTCCGTAAGTTCCGACCTTCTTGCTCGATCCCGAAGCCTGTCCTTCGAAAAGCTTAACCTTTTCCGCCACTTCTGATCCAATGACCCCGTTCTTCTGGACTTGCTCGACCAAATTACGTCCCTCGGCAATCAGGTCGTCCAATGTCTCGGCCCGTTGTTTCCCCTTATCCTCCGCACTCGGTTGATTTTCCCGAACCGTACTCCCGCTTCCGTCGCTATCAGAAGGATCAGAAGAATCGTTCCACGCTCGCTCGTTTTCGATGTTGTGGTACGCCGGTGTGAAAAACTGTCCCGGAAAGCTCATCCACTATTCTTCGTACCGTTCGACCAAGGAAGTTGTTTCCCGGCCAGACCCCCAATTTGTGGAAAGCACGGCGCGCCCTAGGAGTTTTCTTGCACTTCTCCGCTCCGCAACGCGTCCTACTCCGGTTTTGTTGTCCGGGGTAACTTGCTTGATGGTCTTGTAGGTAGGTAAACTAGTTCTCTTTTATTGATCTTTTGTAGGTAATACACTAACTCTACTCTATCTCTAACAATTCTTTAGGCTAATCCACGATTCACTCCTAAGTCACTCTGTTTTTCTGATATGTTCTGAGTCCCCTCCCCCCCCCTCTCTCTCCTCTTCTGCCTCGAACTCCTCTCCTCCTAGGTATCCCACACTCCAGTCCCTTCCTACTTCCCGCGATGTCATCCGCTGTCACCCCCTCGGACTCCGCATGTCACCCCTCCGACGCCTGTCGGTCCAAGTACTCCTCCGGCCGCTCCTAAGCAGGTCTCCCACCGCCGCTTCTGCCTCTGGTCCGCTCCGAACCCCGCTTCTGCCCCTCGGTGCTCCCCGCTCTTTGTAGCCTCTCCGCAGTATACACTGAACCCCCGTTCCGCAGTCGGCCGTGATCCCCGGCGTCCGCCGATGCCCGAATTCCCCGCAGTAAGCTTTTCAGAACCTTGTGCATTCGGTCTACCTTTCTCCGCTTTCCCGCGCCTCGGAAAGCTAGACTTTCCACTAATGCACGGCCGCTTTCCTCAGCCCGCTTGTGTAGCGTCAGCTCCGCGTGCTTTCCGCATCAGCGCCGCGAGCATTCCGCATGCCCCAAACAAACCGGCCAAAGCTTTGGCCAAGGCGCGCTCCCGCCACCACAACGCTTTTTTGTGCCCCATGGGTGTAGTGTTAGTGTGGATGAGTGAAATAAAGCTAACACTACGCTAACAGCTAACACCCACTGGCGCCCTGCGTGCGTAGTGTTAGTGCAAATTTTCAGATTTGCGCTAACACTACGCTACATGTTAGCTTATTTTAGCTACACTACGCTACACTAACGCTACGGTTAGTGTAGCTGGCCCACCGTTGCTTGTAGACACCAGCTCTTGCTCCTCATGGTCATTGGTGGCCCCTGCCGACCCAATAAGGGGCCTTTGTATGCGCTGAGACAGGACATTCGAGCTGGGTGATATTATGTAGATGCCAAACTACATATTTACTATGCAGCTTCAAATAATTAGCCTTAAAAATTGCAAATCCATATTTAAAAGCTAGAGTTAAAATATAAATGCATAAAAATAGTAAAAAGTGGGGTAAAAGTCAGGTGCACACCAACCCCCATTTTTGAAAACATCCGGGTCCCAGGGGCGCGCACAGGGGGCGGGCGCACTTTGGTGCGCCCCACCCTATGTTGCTGTTGACCCTAGTATACCAACCACTCACTTCTGCCTGCAATGAATACCTGACTGCCAAAAGGAATACATTCTTATCAGACATTTCTGTTGAGAAAGCACCAGAGTTTGAGCCACCAATTAAATGTTGAGTTACCATAGTTCATATCACTTTGTTTTCTGCTGTATGCTACATACCTGTCACACTCATGTTCCAGTATATGTAGTATACCTGGGCAGGAGTGAGCCAGTGGAAGGATCTGTTTTCCTCATCCTTGTCAGCTTGCTACTATAGCAGAGACAACCTGTCATAGTACACAAACACTGTAGAATATACAAAAAGATATTATAAATAGCACTGGAAATAAATGAGAATATCAAATAATAAGAGCACTATTTCTCAATATTCTTAATCTATATGAAGAATAACCTAGGGTACCTCACTCAAAGGTACCCTATATTTCAACTACTTCATGCGGCAAATCTACATTAAAGATATAGAGTGTACCTCCCAGAAGGAAATGAAATATGCTTATGTCTATAATCAAATATGCTAATAAACAGGTTTAAGACTTGAAACTGATTTGTTGTTTCAAACATACATTTGTATATTGATAACACGTGTGTGGCACATTTCCAAGGAAATAGCCAGATGTTACAGCTTTCATCTTCCACAGAACACCTGTGGCACATTTCCAAGGATATGGTCACATGTTTCAGCCTCCATGCATGAAGCACCCACAAGTTGACACTGATCTCCCAGATGCCTCCACGGGTATATAAAGAGCCCTCTTTCCCCCCAAAATCAGATCCCTCAGATTATTACAACCCACTTTAGATTACCCACCGTCCCAAATGCTTAACATTTGTATCTGTCTGGTAATGCATTGTCTATTGCTTTAATTCTCTGTCTATCAGAACCTCAAGACTTAAGGGGCTTTATTAGTACATAATGCCCCCTTCTTTCTTGAGATTCTTACTACTTTTGTCTGGGATTTAAACCACCCCTGTTAAACAGGCCCCAGTGTTAACAGGTACCTAAATCCTCTGATTTTGCACAATACCTTTGAGGGATTAAACAACCCCTGATTTATCAGGCCCCTCTGTTTAAATTATATCAATGTTTATTGATATAATCAATCATATCTACTATTTATAAACCTTGGAATTACCACCTGGACTCTTTAGTCCAAGAGTTCAAACTCTAACATTCTTAGTTTTGCACCACGTGTAGCTAGAAGGGCATATCTCCTTGGCATCACGGCGGCTGACAATCCTTTCCATCTTCTCACTCTCTGGCCCAGGTAAGTCATTTTCATTCTCTTTGTTTTCTTTTCTCTTTTTCTCTCTGTCTGTGTCATGATACTTCATTACTAAAGCAATGAATCATCCTTTCCATCTTCTTACTCTCATCATCAAAGGCACATGTTTTGGTTCAATTTAACTTCAGATGAGCCTTCTGGCTTATTTTGAAAGGGGTCACCCAAGTTGGCTTGACCATGTAAATCAAAAATGACATGCCAAGGTGTGGGCCTAAAAAACAAGCCAGAAACACAAATGTTTGTTTAACAATTCTCACATCTGGTAGTTGTTCATTGGAAATCCATGCTTCAAATTCGAATTATATCAACACAACCCTCAGAGTGACAATTGCTTCACTCACAATAAAATTCTCTCACAGGTTTACTCACAAAGCTCAGGCTATATTGAAACTCATATCCAAGTTTAGGTCAAAATTGATCAAAAGGGCCAAAAATCTTTATCAACCAATACAGATTCCCTGTGAGTATTTGCATTAGGTGGGTTAATTCCACAGATTAAGACAGGATAATCTGGCCTAACCCAAACAGGAATCATGTGGGAAGAGAGGGTTAACTCTTGCTTAAAAAATTAAGAATTCCATTAATTCAGGTGAAAACAGTCATCAGATAGTGAAAGATAATTCCTGACTCTTGTGAAAATTAGCAACTTTGAGGTCCATAAGCCCTCAACAATGTTGAAAGCAAAACCTTCTGGGATATTTATAATTCCCATTTATCACAGTCTGACCTTTTTTGCAGGACCACTCTTTTGGATAAAATCAATGGGTATCTTTTTGCAATTTCACTGAAATTTTAGTACTGATGGAACAACATTTTCATGATGAGCAGCTTCGCACTACAAGATTGCATCAGAAACAGTCGAGATGCATGAGGTGACACATTGTTTCCCCCTTTTCTTATTTTCTAGAAGCCTCTTGTGGAGCATGCCAAAAACTTCACAACCTTGGCCAATCTATTAGTTACGAGCTCGGTCACCCAGTTCGATGATACAGTTCGATTGGATTTCTGAGAAAGGTCTCAGCCACAACCAAAAATGTACGCTAGAAATAATTTACAACTCTCTATGCGATTCAATTAGGCTGGTCGTGAGAATCTGAGGCATCTTCTGGGCTACGCAAGTCATCACGATAGGACTTGATCCTAAGGTCTGACAAGTCAGTTGAAGTACCGGGAACGACGCCGTAGGGAGACGCGATGCCAAAGTTACTACATTCGCACGGGAAATTCGGGATATAAGCAACTTGAACACGGGTACTGCGATCACGCCAATCAGTGAAAACAATCCGAATAAAAACTGACCCAGAGTTGGCCATGCGTCTTATTGAAGGGCGCTCAAGTGATGCTTTGAAGTATGCTTTGTCAGCAGCGTCGAAAACAACAGCCATATTATGGGCGTCAATTTTTTTCAGCTCATCGGGGTCACGACAAAAATACTGGGCCAAGTGACTAGATCCAAGCAATAATAGCAGCAAGTCAGTTGATGGATGACGTATCGATTTGAATTTATCACATTGGTTGGGTAGTATCCTAGTAATGACGAGATAGTATTAGACATCCGTACCGAGTCAGAAGCCGTTGCTCATTTTCGGATGTTGACGGAACAAAGGTGTGGTACAAGGCTAATGCGACGATTCCGACCCCAGTCGCCAGGAATAATGAATTACCAAATCCTGTGAATGCGTGGAAAAAAGTTATATGTCAATATAAATGTGGCAATGTGGTTATCTATTCGGAATTCGTAAGAAGAAATTATAGCTTAAAAAAAGAACTGAGAACATGATGCGAAGATGAAAAAAGGTGTTTAACTCGATCAACTGACGCACCTTCATGAGTTTCGTACTCCGGTCCGTAGTGGGCATGACTAGCATGACTGGAGCCGTTCCGCAGGGAGGGGGTGGTTAGGATCAACGAGTTCCTTCCAGCCGCTGATCGGTTATGCTTGATGAGAGCCGAAACACGAGATATCGATCTGGACATCTTGATGAGGCCGAATTGGTGGGTTGACAAGTGGCTGGTGTGGTGGTCATGGGACTTGATCAGAGCCGAGGTGGAAGGCTGAAGCGGGTGTCACAGGGAGCCTTCGGCCTGTCACTGACATATCACATTCTTCGGCTAAACTAGGAACGTCCGGGGCTTGACCGGAGGGTTGTCCGGCGGAGTTATCGAGTCAGGCCGGGCCGCTCACCCGACTCCTGAGCATTGTCGGTCACCAACCTCATCGGACCGAGCTCACCAGTCCCTTCGGTCCTGCCTTCGGCCGCCTTTGATCTCTCCTCGGAACCACTGAAAAGCTTTTGGGCTTGGACAGTCATTCGAATTAGCAGTATGTTGGAAGCAACCATTCTTTTAATCTTGTGCATGGTTGACTTTCATTTTTTGCACGAGTATTATTTACAGGTAATGGAATTTCGCGTAACATAGGAAAGAGGAATCAAAGTAAAACTGGGGAAATTTCCATTTTTAACGATGTATGTATGTAATCGTTGTTTGTTATCCGTTAGCAAAGGCCCTTGAAAAAACTCTCCAACCTCTTCAGGTTGAAGAAGAAGCCTCCAAGAATAAGTGCACAACCTTTCAGCTTCATAAATTTGAAAAAATTCACAACTATGGCCTAGGATATTTGCAAGTTTCGGTAACATCTCCCAAGGATCACCAGCGAAAACAATACTGCACAGGCTTAAGAATGCGATTTTGGTTGGAGTCAAACTCAATTCTTAAACCAGTCCGAGTGTTTTATACCCTATGTTATCTTGCATCTAGATTTGCTTCAACAAGTCTGTAAGGGCTTACCCCCTTCACTCAATCTCATAGATGGAACCTTGGCGTTGAGGGAGACTTTCTAGAACCAAAAGGAATTTATTTCTTGTTCTAGCTCAGCAGATTGATATTAAAGAAAAAGTCTCCCTCAGTCAGTACATGATTTGAAATTTATCAGAGAAGACAGGAAAAGGAAGGGAAAAGATGAAGAAAGAAAGAAGGAAGACAAGAAGGAAACAAAATTACAGAAAGTGAAATGAGTTTGGCTTACCCAGCTCAGCAGATTGATAATAAAGGAAAAGTCTCTGCTGAGCTAGGAGGGGGAGCAGCGCAATGAGTCTTGAATTAGTCGGGAATCTTGCTTATGTGATTTTTTTGAAACCTGTAGAGCGGGGTTTCACAAATTTCTTCTGCCCCTTCTTCCTGTTCAAGTAAGAAAAATAAGCTTGGCAACTCCAACAAATCTCCTCTAATTATCATCCAGTGATTTGCACTGATTTTTCTGCTTCTTCACTCAGACAATTAACTGATCCAAAACTGAATACAACAATCCTGGAATCATTCCCAAGAACAAAATGATTCACTTGTGGAAATACATTCAAGGAACTCAAAACTTACATCTCACTCTAGACAAATTTGTATGCATGCACTTTGTAAAACTAAAAATTGTATATTCCAATACAAAATTCTATTGATAGTTGTACTCCAACTGAAATTAAAAAAAACCCTGAGAGCTTGAGTGACTGGAATGACTGCTGTTGTTGTTCCCTTTCCATCTTCTCTCTGTCACACTAGTGTCACTCCTTTTTCATCTGAAACTCTTTTTCTCCTCATTTCCAGATGAATATGCATCTTCCTCTTCTGTCCCACAACTCAGTCATAACTTGTATGTAGTTAAATAATCATGCTTCCTGAGTTAGAAAATGAAATCATAAGAGCAACTCCACCGCGGGCGCTAAATCGGGTCCCTAGTTGGAATTTACCGACCCAACATGAGCCACCGCGGCCGCTGTTTGAGTCTCAAATCTACGGCTGCCCCTAAATTTTGTGCCCAAGTCCCTACATGTAGGGACTCCTAGCGACTCCTCTATTGACCTCCCAATCCCCTTTCACATAACAACTAACTTGTGAAACTCTACTACCTCAATACAAATTGGTTCCAACTTCACACACCACTCATCCTGTCACACATTGTTAAAGACTCTCGCGGTGTATGCCGCAGCACTTTGAGGCTGTAAAGTTGGCTTCGCAGTCCCAACGATCAAAATTTAGCGGCCCAAAAATAGGGGCCGCGGTGGAGTTGCTCTAAGTTCTTCTGCACCTGTTCCCTGGAGTCTCTACCAGATACAACTCCTTGTAGTGTGTCTGCTTTTACCCCACGCAAGCTAGCAGCCTTAGCCCCCTTTTAGGGCCTCAAGACCATTGTTTTTTTCCTCAGAGATTTTTCTCAAGGATTTTTCATTGACCGGTCTCTTCTCCATTCTTTGGCTCAAAATCTTGAGTTTCATCATCCAATGCCAGTCATACAAAAAGGGGGGTACCCCCCCCCCTAGATACCACCTTCCCCGCAGCAACGGTGCAACAGAGACAAGACGTGTATTTGTCTCATCTTGGTCTTGCCTCTTAAACACCCGCTGCGACGGTGTCTTGGTCTCTCATTGCGGCAGTATGTCTCAGGTGGCCAAGACAAACCACAAGTCTTGCTTGGGGTGTATCAACAGGTAGACCAAGACGACCCGCTTGCAAGATTGAGACAAGTCCGCCTGGGTCAATGTGCTTTGTAAATTGTAGGTGGTCAACTACATACTGTCACTACAAGAAGGAATCAAAAGGATCCAGCATCCTGTCTTCAACAACAGACAAGTAACTAACACACTTGGAATTTGCCTCTGAGATTGTTCTCTTCCAGCAATCTTAATAGACCAACCAAGATGGCTTCCAACACCAACCAACCACCAGACCAAGAACCTAATCCAGCTAGCAATGGCATTGAATCCAGTAGCACTCAGACAACACTAACCAACCAGGAGGAGTTGTGTGAGTACATTCTTATTGATGGATCATTTATTCTATGGCAAAGTTGTTCTGAATCCTTACACTTCTTTTTATGTAGTAAAAGCTCAGAAAACAGCACACAACACCACCAGCCCTGCTTACCTAGGGCATCACAAACCTCGGCATAAAACAAAAAGCCCCCAAAACTGACCTGAAATCCCAGGAATCCCATCTCCAAACAAACAAATGGTCTTGGTTGATCCAAAACTGAAACAGAAACAAGACATGCATTGGGTATTTTCTTTATTTTGAGCCTGATATCTGGAATCAGTATTTCCTTAGTTGGTGAGAAAATCAACTGTCTCAGATTTGTCTTTACCCATGCAAAAAATTGGTTTGGTGTTTTTTGTTGATACGGCCAAATGTCTTGTGTATCAAAGACATTTTTGGTGGGATAGGCACTCTGAGACAATACACAATACTTGTCTCACTTTCCAGCGTGTATTGTCTCAGGAAAGCAAGACAAACAAGGATTGATATTTTTGGGTATTCAAATTCTGAGACAATACAAGTAAACCTCTGATACCATCTCGTCTCACCTCTGTTTCAGCATTGGTAGCATCCCTCAAGAGTCAAAACAGTGTGCCAAACCTGTAGTGTTAGTGCACTATTAGTGCCACTACGCTATGTTACACTGTGCTACAGTGCTTTCCACGGCAAAACCCGCTAAAACAAACTAGCGCAGTGTAGTGGGCCCTTTTTGTGGCCCGTGCTTGTAGCGCTAGCGCAGTTGTGGCAGAATTCTGCTGAGCTACGCTAAATGTTAGCGTAATTCTGCTATGTTAAACTGTGCTCACACTACTGTTAGGGTAGTGGGCCCATTGCTGGTGTTGGCAAGACCTGTACACATGCACACAAGAAAAATGCTGAGGTAAGCACATGTGGAGTGTTTTTCCTATTGGTTGGGTGGGGTGCCTCCCATAGGTTGATATTGTTGGATTATGAATATCCTTATATTCATTATACAATATGCATCAACCAAAACTCAAAGCAATCATGTATATAGTCTATACCTGATGGCGAGTGCAGTTTTTCTCCAGTGAATCAAGACCTCTTTTTCTCTCACTCACAAAGTGTCACTGGCCTGTCAGCCGTGAACTTTGGTTTTCATCTTGAGTTGCACTCAACAGATATTTGCGAGGAGGCCCTCTATGTGTCACATAAGGGAGTTTTGCATTTTTTTTGTCAGGTGAAGATCCTCCCAGCAAGCATAAGTTTTTGTGCCCACTTTTCAAGAAGAACAACAACTATCATGCAGGTTTCATTTATTTCTACATGAGGAGCCAGCAGATTTTATACCTACTAGGGTTTCATGGCGGCTGCCCCGCCTCGGACCCCAGAATTGTTAACCCAACCGTTTTCATTACTAATAGTCCTACATATCCAGCTTCTTGACCATCATCACAGACAAGTCTTTGGCCCAAATCAAGAAACATTGACTTGACTTAAGGCATAACTCGTTGAGGTGCATAGAAGACGGTGTAGTGATTAGTGCTATGGGAAACAAGAGAGAGAGAGGCGAGATGTACGGATTGAGCCGTCAAGGAAATAAATTGTGGATGGATGAGATGGAAGATGAGAATTATAGCCGAGTGGGGGCAAGGAAAAGAGATCGATTATTTGTATGTAAAAAAATGGATGTTTAGGTGGTGAGATTTCAAACAAAGATGAGCTCTATCTCCCGAAAAAGACAACTGGAAGGCGTATTTCCTGAACGGGTAAGGTGCCGGGTGAGGAAGAGTAGAGGGGC